GAATGCATCAACCAGGTCCCTGGGAAGCAGATTCCAAGATGAAATTAGAAGAACAAGAGCTTTAGAGAGGGAACTGTTTGGGAAGGGTGAAAGGGGGATGGAGCACAGGTGAGGAAGCAGGACCTCAGACTGAGATACAGATCCACCATCTCTAAAGAGAAGTAGAGAAAGAATAAAAGGTTGGAGAAGAGGAGGCTTAAACTGCACTGCAAACTTTGAGGGTCTCAGTCAAGTCCATGTGGAGCGCAGTATGCAGATGGCCCATTGGAGGTGCCCTGCATTGGGCAGGAATGACTGGACCCCAGTAGCCCTGCCCCTCCGATATTTAGTCATTGAGAGTGAGGCCTGTGCCTGAAGGCTGTAGTATCTTCTGAAGGTACAACCCAGCTGGAGGCTGTCTGCACAAGAGCTTCTGGGAAGGCACACCAATGACAGCCACACCAGTGTAAACAATAGTTTGATGGTGGTAAAAAATGAAGTGCTTGCAACAGCTTATTCTATGAGTGTACCATCCTGTCATACTCTGAGCTCTTGTTTCAGATGCTTAGGGCAATCTTTCTTTTTCTTTTTTATTATGTCATGATCCTCCTTTGTTAGTCTCCCATCTGGGACTACAGGCACATCCCACCGCACTGAGCCCCTTGTCAGACAGAGTCTTGCAGTATTGCTTGGGCCAGTCTCAAGCTCTTGATCCTTCGGCTTCAGCCTCCTGAGTCACTGGGATTGAAGGCACACGTCATCACCATGACTTAGGTTGGACGGGAAATCGAACCCAGGCTCCCACGTGGCCCAGCTAACTAGGCACAGCATTTTAGCAGTGCCTATCTGCCACATTTCTTTTCTTGCATAGTTTAACAACTCCTACAACTGCACGTCAGAGAAAACCGTTCAAACTTACTTTTGATCAGACTGAAGATGCCACGTTTGTTCTTGTGCGCTTACCACAAAAGCAACATATGCAAATTGGAGCACATGAAAAGAGTTCCTCTAGAAACAATATAGTTTAGAAAGTCTAGAGGTTAGGATGTTTTTGGAGTCTAGCAGTTGAGGGAAGGGATTTAAACAGAAACCAGATTCCAAGTGACTTTACATGCTCTGCTATAGAATGTGAGAGAGAGCCACGCAGAGAATGTAGGCCCAGAAATGATGTGGTCAAATTCATGGTTTAGAAGTAGTAGCCTAGTGGCAAGGCAGAAAATAGGAAAGGCAAGCAAATATAGATCAAATTAGAATTTCTAATTTTTTTTTTTTGGAAAGGTTTTTGTTATAGATCGCGTGTGCTCTCTAGAAAGACAGATAGAGATAGAGACAGAGAGACAGAAAGCAAGAAATCACCCCCTAGGGGGATGACCACACCACAATCCCTTCTCCTCCATTCTCTTCTCCGGATCTTGGGCATGCATGCACACACACACCCAGCATGAGTTTAAGCCACTGGGTCCAGGACTCGAACCACAGTCTACTACATGGGAGTCCAGTGACATAGCCATTATGCTAACTGCTGGTCCCTAGAATTTCTAATTTTAAACCATGGGAAAAATGAGGATTCAAATAAACTACACTGTTTAAGAAGAGAATAAACTAGACTGTTTAAGAATGTTTTTGATTAATGGGATATAGAATATTCATTAGGAAAGGACAAAATTACTCCATATTAACGGTCTAGATTCTTTTTACTCAGAATGTTGTGGTCTGGAATCAGCATCACTAGCATCACCTGAGAGCCTATCAGAAATGTATAGTCTCAGTCCCCACTCCAGACTGACTAACCAAAGCTGCTTTAAAACAACAACAACAACAAAACAAAACAAAACACAAAACAAACAAACAAAAAACAGTTTGTGTGAACACTGAGGTTTGAGAAATACTGACTTCGGTCAAGGGTCAGTACACTTTTTCTGCAAGAGGACAGATAATAAATATTTTAGGCTTAGTGCATAGACAATCTCTGTTGCTACTACCTCAGGTTGCCCGTTCTAATACAGTCAGTCTTAGACAATACACAAATGAATGACAGTGTTACAATAAAACTTCACTTATTAACACAAACACTTAAATTTCATAGAATTCTTGTATGTCGGGCCAACAGACATGGTGGTTAAGGCAGCAGGATCCCATGTGGCTGACTCCACAGTTTGAGTCCTGGACTCCGGCTTGAAACTCATGCCAGACATGTGTGCGCATGTGCCCAAAATCCTGAGAGGAGAGTGGAGGAGAAGGGATTTCATAGTGGCCATCCCTCCAAGGGGGTTGTTTCTCACTTCCCCTATCTGTCACTCTCTCTCTTCAGTGACAGCATACACACTATAGCAAAAACCTACAGAAAAAAGAAAATTTTCACAGCTCATACAAACTTATCCTTTTGACTTTTTATGAGCATTAAAAATTATAATTTTTAAAAATTATTTTTAGCTTTTTAGCTTAGGAGATATGCAAAACAAAACAAAACAAAACAAAAAAAACTGTTGGCAGGCCAGATTTCATTCCTGGGTAATTTTTACTGGCTTTTATGTAGGTGAATGCATGAGTAGGTGGGCCAATTATAAAAGTAAGAAATACAGGGAAAGTCTATTGGTCGTAGGTGTTGGGATCTATGAGGCGTGTATTACATCACATTTTTAAACAATATTAGAGGCAAAACATGCTAAATTATAAAACTATTTTGTAATTTCAGCTGGGAAATCTTTATGTGTTCCCTGTGTTCCTCTGATAGCTTTTGTTTTATCCAATGAGTATCTTGCCAATGAGGACAAAGACAACCAGTCTAACTTACTCACACAGTAGACCTTCAAGTAGTATTTGACTGATGCCATTAAAATAGAATATTTAATTTTATTAACTAGGTAAAAATTTTAAGTACAATTATGGAAAATATCGATTTATTTTGCACCAGGTGAAAAATTCTTTCAACACTGTATCAGTCATTAAATCATATTTTGGGTAAAGGAGAATATACATAACTCAATTTATCAGCTTTTACATGCAGATACTTTGGTAACACCTGTTTTTTTTTTCTTTGTTTCTGATTTTCCTCTTCAACCCCATAGCTTTCTCCATCTCTGGGGAAAACAGCCAAGTGGTAATGATCGCCATTTCAGCGGCAGTAGCAATTATTCTCCTCACTGTCCTCACATATGTTTTGATTGGGAGGTGAGTTCTTGGTATAGCTTGCTTTTTACTTTCGTTATTTGCTTGAGACCTTTTCTTGCTGTTAGAATCTTAAGAGCGGAGTCAGCAAAATATTTTAACAAATAAAAGTTTTCACTGGTATTCTAGGTCCTTCTATTTCTCCTTTTCTTTTTATTTTCCACACTTACGTTTGATTTCCTTTTCTCCATTAAATTCCATTTTCTACTCTCTAATATATGCCACTTCTTTCATTGACCCCACTCCTAGTTCTTACTTTCTCTTTCCTATTATATCTTCACTCTTCAAATAAGCCCAGATTTCCTT